CATTGAACAAGGCATTCAATGCTTTAGAGTTACCCAGGGCTAACTCTTCTTCTTCTTTGCTCCATTCTTCCTCAGGTTTTAGACTAGTCGTCCCATCTTTCCCAGTTATGGTAGGATGGTTCCATCCTTTGTCAGCAGCTCTCCAAACTTTATTGTCCAGTGACTTTAAGAAGGAAATCATACGAGGTTTCCAGTAGTCATAGTTTGATCCATCCAGAATAGGTGGCCTGTTCCCAAATCCTCCTTCCTTGTCCATAGCGCCAGAAAATAATATCCCTAGATCTCACCAGAAAGACAGGCAGGGTGCATGCTCTGATGCCAATTGAAATTCTGGCAACAGATACTTAATGTCACAGTGAATGTTATGACACCGTATCTGACAAATTGTACACAAACCAAACAGTAATTTAAAAGACAGTAAAGAACACAATCAATGGTTAACCCAGTTCAGTGTATAACAACACCTACATCTGGGGGCTACCAAGCCAGGGAGGAAATTCACTATAAGAGGTATTAATTTAGGAATAAACCAACCAGTTTATCTCCTTCACTTAAGACCTACCCAATGCAACTTCAATCTAAGTCCTACTTAAACCTGAGTTCCTAATCACTCCCCCTCAATCATAACAGTGATACTAATCTACTGATTAATAAGATTATGAAGACATTCTTCAATACACACGCTTGATTTTGCTTCAAAGCTTTAATCAAGAGACACAACACTCGTGCTTCAAAGCTTTGAGTGATAAACAACCCTTACAACCAAATCCTACTCCAAGTCACTTATCAAGTGATAATTGCTTAGCTCACAGTAATTACTAAAACTATCACAACTACAAAATTCCTTATTGATCTTCTATAAAAAGCGCTGCACACCATTACGATTCGTGAGAAATATATATGCAGTCTATTCTTCATTTTGGGCTTCCATAAAAATAGCTAGGGTTAACCAAAGTTAACCTAAAGACTTGGTCTTGGGCTTTCATCATAACAGATTAGGGTTAAGCAAGGTTAACCTAATATCCACGTGAGCATCTGATCTAGTCAATATACTTCAACTCAGAATAGCACACCAGATTCCTGAAAATTCTCAGGAACAATAAATCTGCACAACAACTTGATCAGAACAGGATATCTTAACATTGGTTATGACATCATGTATCCTGCTCACTGATTTTGGTAGAATTCAGTACATATGATCATAGCTTAATCATCATGATATTCACTCATACTGAGTTGTTCCTGTAGAACATTCCTTCTGCAGAATTTGTCTTTATCCCAGAATGTTATGACATCAGTCATGACATTCGCAAATCTGGTTTTACCAAAAATTAATGCCAACAAGAAAACACTTACACAATGGTCTGGATTCCTCGGAGCTGGAGGGCAGTATGGATCCAGTAGCCATCTGAGGTTGGACTTTGATGGAGCTGAGGCCCTTTGCAGAAGCTTCGAAGCACCTCCTGGCTACTTGGATGTCCCCGTGAAGACTGGCAACTAAACCCTCGACGATGTAGTATTTCATCTTGAGATGAACGGTGGAGGGGACCGTGATGAGCTCGATGAGAGTGGGTCTCCCGAAGATGCATTGGTAGAGGGATGGGCAGTCCACCACCAAGAATTGGGTCTTGATGGTTCTGGCAGTTATCCCCCTCCCAAAAGTAAGGATCAACTCCACGTACCCCCATGACTTCGTGTTGGCCCCATTGAAACCTTGAAGATTAGAGTCCACGTAGGGGGTTAGGTGGCTCTCGTTTAGCTGTAAAGTGTTGAATAGTTGGGCGTACATGATGTCCATCGAACTGCCCTGGTCGACCAAAATGAGACGTACGTTAAAGTTAGCCATCCGAGCTCCCAAGAGTCGTGGGATGCTCAAATTTGGGGCTTCTCCGGGTAACTTTTCTACGTAGAATGCGAGGGGGTGAGATCCTCCTCGGAACTTATCGAGCATGGCTTCCATCTCGGAGTTGGACTCGATGAGTTGGTCGAACCTTCTCTTTACTGATCCAACTGTATGCCTATTGAACCCTCCGCCAAAAATGACCATGGCTGCGGGGAAGGATTCCCATAGACTGTGGATGGAGAAGTACATGGGAACGTTCTCCATATCCGGAAAGTAGAAGTCTCCCGGCCTTGAGATGCTCAAGGTGATCAAAATGGTACCGAGGTCGGGGGGTTTCTTCCCTTCTTTGACATTCTTGGTCTCTGGTGCTTCGTCACGTGTGGCCTCCTTTTTGTTATACTGCTTGAGGTGCCCGTCTCTTATTAGTATTTCGATTGCATCATTGAGGTAAATTTAATCCTCTGTGTTGTGGTCGTGACTCTTATGGAACCTGCAGTACTTGCTCTTGTCGGTTCCTGGATTCAACGGTGTTTATCAGGGGAAGCGCACCCTGGCTTGCTTGAATTCAGAATTAGCGCATTTGGAAAGAATAAGCTCCCTTGAGGTTGTCAGGGGGGTGTAGTCGTGGAAACAACCAGCCGGACCCTTGTAGTCTTTAGGATCACGAGACATGTCCTCCCATTTCTTCTCCCCCCACTGAGATGTCGAGGGTTCATCATTCTTTGAGGGTTTTGCACTCTCTCTGTGCCTGGATTCCTGGGCACTATTGGTCGCTTCCTTCTCTTTGTACTGTATGTATGCTTGGGCCTTTAAGAGAAGGGAATCGAGCGTGGCTGGTGTTTCTATGCCCACAACCTTGGAAAAGTCGCTGTGGGAATGAAGCCCGCGCTCGAGTAGGTATTTTATCATGCTGTCCGTTGTCGGGACCCAGATCGCTTATTTGTTAAAGAGTTTGATATATGCACGCAGAGAATCGTCCCTGCCCTGTATGATCGCTTCTAGTGAAGCTTCTGATTTAGGGTGTCAGTGGGAGGCAGTGAAATGTCTAGAAAACATTCTCCCGAGTTGTTTCCACGAGGTGATAGATTCGTCAGGCAAGCTTTTGTACCACGCCATCGCCCCCTTCTTGAGAGTGGTTGGGAAGAGTCTATATTTGATGGCGCCTCTGACCCCTCTGTAGTCAAGGAGGGCATCGATGTTCTCGATGTGTTCGTTAGGGTCTGTTGTACCGTCGTAGGTCCCTAGAGTGGGCGGTTACTCCAGGATGACAGGGAGCAGAGCTTCGGTGATCTCCCTTGATAACGGGCCACGGGACTCGTCATATTCACTATTGACGGGAGATGGAGAAGGAGAGTGATAGTTTCTCCCTCGTCGGTCGTCACCGTCTCATCGGGAGGAGGGGCTCCTTCGTTTTTACTTCGGCTCGGGAGAGGGAGTCGAGCTCGGTTGATTTTCCTGTTGTCCTTCCTCTTCTTGAGTGAAGGGGAGTCTTGATCCCTGAGGTGAGGTGTGTGATTATGTTTCTTGAAGAAAGAAATATCGCGCCTTTCCTTTCTGGGAGGTGGACCACGCCTGAGTGGTGATGTAATGGGGGAGTTTCGTCTTCGAGATCTCCGAGGAGGAGATCTTGAGCGTCTGTTCTCCCAGGCCCCTACCATTTTATTTTGTTGAAGGATGAGGGCGTTGGCATGATTTATGGCAGCGAGCAGTGCTGCCATGGCCGGGTCGGTGTTGAGAGGGATAGAAACTGGCTGTAAGATTTCTGGTAGTTCCTCAGTAGGATTCTCGAAATATCCTTTGTCCAAGAGTTGATCGTCACTACGCCGAGCATCGGCGGAATCAGGGGACGCATTTTTCTCGTCACGGAGGCCCAGGTTGTCCTCAAGGTGAAGGTGTTCCTGGCTTTCATCAGTCTTGCAAGCGGGGAAAAGAATGGTCTTTTCGGGCATGTAAAGATCATCATGGTCGGCCATCATAAGAGAGATGGATCTTGGAAGAAAAGTTGCTTTGATCTTAGGTTCCAAGGGAAGAAAGATGGGGATAGCAGTTTCCCATAGACGGTGTCACTGATCTTGACGGTTGATCAGAACTTGGAGAGTGGCCGGAGGGTGATCTTCAGTCGGGCAGTGTGTTGAGGAGAAAAGGAGGTTGTACCTGCAAGGCACTCCAACAATCAAGTAAGAGTAGGAACAGGGCAGTACAAACAGAAATATCAGGTAGTGAGGAGTGAATATGTGATACCTGGCCCTCACAAGTGTGAGGGTTTATATAATGCCCCTAGCGCATGGTCATTGGTTCCTGATTTCACGCCTAGATATGCAGATCCGTGAAATCAGATAACTGTCAGGACTTGGTCAAACCGGACAAATGTGCTTGTAACTAGCTGTTGGCCCCGAGGAGGGGGTTAGTTGCAGACATCTCTCTGGTCGATTTCTGGTGGCCTATACCACGTTGATGTCGGGCAGGCTAAGAGGATGCCTATCGATCATCCTGGGTCTGTGCTAGTCCGAGAGGGCAAATGGTTGTCGTTGCCCGACAGGAGATATAGCCTTACAGGCGATCCAGGTTATGGATGGGTGGGCTCGACCCGTGGAGCTCTCTGGACTGGACCAATCAAGCCGTCGGACCAATCCAAAACAGTTTTAATTTGAATAATCAATCAGTAAGGTGTTAAGCCAACCAATTGATTATTTGAAGATGTGAAATCCTATTATTTATAAAAATATTTAATTAATTAAATTAAAAAAAGTTTGATTAATGTGCATGTTTATTTATTCACGAAAAAGATAAGAATGTGTACAAACTTAACTATTTTTTCTAAGAAAGGAATTAAATACTTATTACAATCTTTTACATTATTTTTGAAGTACATAACCTAATTAAATTAATTACACAAAAAGAAATTAGAATAATTTAGCTAAAGGGTTGTGTAAAATAGACAGTTGGGTATTATGAAGTTGGCAATCAACAAATAGACTAAAATTCTCACATCACAAAACCATAATCCTCACATTAACTAATAATAATAAACAATAAAAAAAACAATAAACAATTTAGTATATGGGGCGCCACTTTCAACATATGTTTGTCGACCTTTTGAATTTTCAACATTTCATTCCACCAACCAACCGGTGACAAGTGGCAAGTATTTTCTTTAATGAAAATAAAAATTAAATGGATATGTATAGCATTTGGAATACCCACGTATCAGAAACATGAAACACAATACCACTCAGTCTCTCTCTCTCTCTCACTTCCACTTTCCTTTGTTTCGAACATATCTCATCTTCCTCCTCCATTTCACTTTTCTAATTCTCTCAAACAAAAAACCCACAACAAAGGTTTAAAGGTGTATGACGCGGGCTTGTCGGAGTTCAGGGTCGTGGTTGTGGCTGGATGATGACGGTGATGCACGAGCAGACAGGGGAAGCAATCACTTGTTGTTATGATCTTCTTGTTCAACCTGCGAAGACAACACCACAACAATTTTTTCCAGACTTTTGTCCATATGTTTCAAATATTATGCAGGTTGTAAACAAGTGGTTGTGAGGCAAACGTATGCAAATAAATGAATTACTCATAGCAACTTGAAAAAGATTTACAGGTAATAAAAATTGGTGAAAACTTGGAAGTGTGTGATTGGTTTATGAAAATAAAAATTGCTAATATGAATTTTAATAAAACACAAATCATCAAATAATCACTATGTGGTTAAAACAACAAAATAAGTAAAATTACAAAGGGAAAAAAAAGTAAAAGTGAAATTAACAGTGAGGGGCCTCAATAGAAAAAATGAAGTGTATATGAACATAGTGTGTAAAATTGTGTGAGAATTGTTGATGATCCATTAAGATGGACAAGAGTTCTATTTATAACGGGAGAAATTAGGTTAAGATATCAAAAAAGGAAATTATCTAAAATAAAAAATAAAATTTTTATTGAATTTATCTTGATCATCTAGTTAGCGAGAAGTGAGTTATGACACAAATTGACACACATTGACCAATAAAAAATAATTAATAAAAAAAGAAATTTTTTTTTAGTATTTATTATAATTTTTGCACTTCAATTATAGTAAAAAGTGTATAAAATCAAATAAATAATTATTTTTTAAAAATGCCTTAAAATGAAAAATTGAAATTAAAATATTAAAAAAAGCAATTTTGTGAGAGGAAAAATGTTTAAAAATGTAGCAAGTGAGATTAGAACTCATGACTTTATACTTGAAAGTGTTACCTCTTTACCAATTGTACTGACTCATTTATTTGTGATAAAAAGCTACTAAAAAGTATATGAAGGATGGAAAAATATTTGCTATTTTAAAGTAAAGAAAAAAATAAATTAATAAATAATAATAATTTACTGTTAAAATGTTACTAAAATTAAACCAAAAAAACGTATAATGTCCAAGTTTAAAAATAGTTTTATTGTTAGAAATAAGGCAGACAAATATGAGGTTTGACACTGGGCTATGTGTCGACCTAACCAAGACAGAGACTACAGGCTTTAAAATGATAGCAAATGTGTCGACCTGAAAGATGGATGTGTCGACATATAAAATAAGAATTTCTGCAAATTTACAAATGCTTTAGTATGTGTCGACCTATCCCATGTATGTTTCGACCTGAGTTTTACAGAGACTATAGACTTTAAAAATGAGTTGCATGTATCGACCTGAAAAGCAGATGTGTCGACACATTCAACGAAAATTTGAGCAAACACACTTTTTAATAACTTGACTCAATTTTAAAATGACTTTTAATGATTTCCAAACAACCTACGACTTCTAGATGATTAGGGTGCCACACCAAACTCAAAGATAATGTCCAACCGAAGAAGTGATAGATCCTCGTATTTTTGACATCATTCAAAACACTTAAGGGACCAAGTTTCACTCACAAGTTTAGCTCTTCGAAGAGAAACCGAAAAATATTCCTTCATCCCTTATGGGATTATTCTTGCCCTTTTGGCCTTGGCCTGTCAAGTAGTAGCATTTACTTCCAAAGATGTGAAATTAATTTACGCTAGGCTTCATCCCTTTCTATAGCTCATAAAGCGTGGCTGAAGTATTTATCCTCAGAGTAACCCTATTATGAATATAACAAGTAGTATTCATAGCTTCTTCTCAAAAGTACAAACGCAAATACTTAGCATGAAGTGTGACTCTAGCTGATTCTAGAATCTCCTTGGTCACTTGAGGCAAAGATTATTGCTACACCAGTTTATATCATTGGTACTGAATCAACTGCTGAGACTCGAGGCAAAGAACAGATGACTGAGCCTGCCCAGGTTGAGGCACCAAAGAGGTTACTGTTGAAGATACCTCCAAGCAAGAAATGGAGGAAGTATTGAAAATTATTCGAAAGAGTGACTATAAGATTGTTGAATAGTTGGGGAAGACCCCTTTCAAAATATCTATGCTATATCTATTGTTGTACTCTGAAGCCCATGCTCGGGCTTTGGTAAAGTTTTTGAAATATGCTCATGTACCGCAGGAAATCTCTGTTGACCAGTTCGAAAATTATGTTGTTAGCCTAAAAACTGATAATGAGCTAGGATTTTCTGACGATGATTTAACTCTCGCAGGAAGGAACAATAATAAGGCCCTGCATGTATCTATTGAGTGTAGGGGCACTACCTTATCTCATGTGTTGGTGGGCACAGATTCCTCGTTAAATGTATTGTCAAAAGTTGTTTTAGACAAACTTGACTATGAAGGGGTTGTGCTAAAACCCAGTGACGTTGTGGTGAGAGCCTTTGATGGTTCAAAGAGAATGGTGCAGGGAGAAGTTGATATTCCAATCAAAGTAGGTTCCCAGGTATTCGACTATACTTTCTATATAATGGATATTTTTTATCCTACTCATGTTTGCTTGGACGACCTTGGATTGATGGGGCATGCATAATTACTTCTACTTTACACAAAAAGTTAAAGTATCTCGTGAAAGGAAAAATTATTACAGTTTGTGGCAAATAAGAATACATGGTAAGCCATTTGAACTCCTTCAAGTATGTTGAGATGGGTGGTGAATTCCTCGAGACTCCTTGCCAGACTTTTGAAGTTATTCCCCAGACAACCCATGTTGCTAAAGCTGCTCCTACTGTTCCTGAGGTTACCAGGATTCCACCAAGAATGACTTCTCTAAAAGACGCTAAGGTTGTGGTAGAAGAAGGTGGTGGCACTATTTTAGGTCAGCTTCCCGACATTCCTTACAAGTCCAACAAATTTGATTTGAATTTCACCTCAGAGGTTCAGAGGGTTGTCCTTCGTGCTCGTGCTAATTCTTAGAGACCGCCATTCCGCATCAACAACAATGGAGTGCACCAAAGTCAAGTCAATGTTGTGGGAGACGTTGATAGCGACTGTGACATGGACAGTTAAATTTTCCCTACTACTGGAAGTGGGTTCAACAATTGGAATGCTGAAGACTTTATACCAATATCCTTTAGTCATAAGTAAATTCTATTTTGTATTTTCTTGCTTTCAAGTTTTTGGTTACGTAATTTGAACAATAACTTTAAGCCTTTTTCCTTACATGGGGCACAACGGTCCATTTTTTAGGGTTGTCATTTTTCATCCACATATTTTCATTTAATAAATCATTGGAAGTTTGTATTTAAATTTTGCGCTCTTTGTCTTTCTTTTACTTTATTGCTTCCAAAATAGTTATGTGTTCTTACACACACCCACATAACAAATTGTAGATCCACATCCACCCTGGGTCCATTTGATAACAATTCTGCTATTGCTAACTATGACTTCGAAAATCTGATCTACCAAGCCGAGGACGAAGGTGAGGAAGATTTTGAAGTACTTGGGGAGCTTGCTAGATTGTTAGAGAAGGAAGAAAGAGCCATACAACCACATGAAGAGCCAATCGAGGTTGTGAACTTGGGTAATGAAGAAGACAATAAATAAATTAAGATAGGTGTCAACCTAGAAGACAATGTCAAAAAGAGGTTAATCCAGATGTTACGTGACTATGTTGAGATCTTTTCTTGGTCTTATAAAGACATGACAGGGTTTGATACTAACATTGTGGTTCACCGTCTACTAATGAATGAAGGTTGTCCTCTTATAAAGCAGAAGGTTCGTCGTATGTGTCCCGAGATATCTGAAAATATCAAAGCTAAAAGTCATGAAGCAGTTCATTGTAGGTTTCCTAGTTGTTACGTCCTATCCTCAGTGAGTTGCAAATGTGGTGTCGGTACCTAAGAAGGACGGTAAGGTGCGTATGTGTATAGACTACAGGGATTTGAATAGAGCAAGCCCCAAAGATGACTTTCCGCTCAGCACAAAGTATTCTCCTTCATGGATGGTTTCTCTAGTTATAATCAAATCAAGATATCACCTGAAGACACATAGAAGACTACTTTTGTCATACAGTGGGGCACTTTCAATTACAAAATTATGCCTTTTGGTTTGAAGAACGCACGTGCAACATATCAACATGCTATGGTAGCTTTGTTCCATAACATGATCCATCATAAGATAGAGGTTTACATTGACGACATGATAGCCAGATCTCAGACTGAAGAAGGGCATCTCGACCACCTGTAGATATTGTTTGATAAATTGAATAAGTACATATTGAGGTTGAATCTAAACAAGTGCACCTTTGGGGTAAGATCCAGTAAACTCCTAGGTTTCATCGTAAGTGGTAAAGGTATTGAAGTTGAACCTGGAAAGGTTAAAGCTATTCAATAAATTCCAGCTCCGCGTACTGAGAAGGAAGTCAGAGGTTTCTTGGGACGATTGAACTACATTTCCAGATTTGTTTCCCATCTGAACACTACTTATGAGCCAATCTTCAAGTTACTGAAGAAAGATCAAGTAGTGATGTGGGTTGATGATTGTCAGGTAGCCTTTGACAAAATTAAGAAGTACCTCAAAGAACCTCCAATTATGATGCCACCAGTTAAAGGAAGACCTTTGATCATGTACTTGAAAGTATTAGAGAACTCAATGAGGTGTGTATTGGGGCAACATGATGAGTCTGATCAAAAAGAGTATGCAATATACTACCTTAGCAAAAAGTTTACCGGCTATGAAACAAGATATTCACTGCTCGAGAAAACTTGCTGAGATTTGGCATGGACTTCTCGCCGACTAAGACAATATATGTTGACTCATACTACTTTGTTGATCTCTATGATGGATCCGATAAAATACATATTCGAGAAACCTGCTCTCTCCGAAAGAATAGCAAGATGGAAAATGGTCTTGACAGAATACGACATTCAGTACACTACTCAGAAGGCAATCAAAGGAAGTGTACTGGTAGATCATTTGTATCATCAAGCAGTAGATGACTACCAGTCTATGAATTTTGAGTTCCCATATGTGAATATCATGTTAGTTACTGATTATGAAGAACATGGACCATATGAAGGACCTAA